TTCATTGTTGTGCTCCTACTGGTTGAATTCGACAAAGAGACGCCGCTGCTGGATCTAGTCTTCAGTGCCAAACTTGTAAGAAGACTTTCTTCGGCAATGACACGCATCTTGACTTGACGGTAGCTAGTAGGGCCAAAGCATACGGGGACACGATGCCTATTGCCACGGAACTTTTCAGGTATCGATGGATCCTTACGGTTATTTTAACAACTTTAGGTAGCCTCTGGACACGTTTATAGTTAGACTTGATGGACCCAAGTCTGTGATTGAAGCCAAGGAAGAAAGGTTTGAAGTGGCGTCAACTAGTGGCTTATATTGTTCGTCATTTGCTTCTCAAAATTATCAATTGCTAACCCATCTGCTGCTTTTCTTAGCTATCCTGTAATTTCTACTGCATCTTTCTTGTGGTCTTTTGGATTGTTAATATTCATATTCCGAGAGAAATGTTAATATTCATATTCTGACTTCTGTTAGATTTCCTAAACATTTTGTTCTCCTGGAATCTGATCATTGATAAAGAGGATTTAGGAAACTTCATTGATGGATTCTGATTTGTGATCTTATGTAATGCTCTTGGGTGGCATCCCCTTGGTGTCTGTTGATATTATTTATTTTCTCTCAAGAAAATTTATGGTTCTTTTTTATTTATGTGGACATTTTACATATGGTTATTACCATTTCTCCGTGTATAATCTTTAAATCACAAATGTGTCTATTCTTGATTGAATTGATCTCTATCTTTCTCTCTATATGTGTGTATTTATTTCTTTTCATTTTTTTAATAATTTGTCACCAATTTTTCATTGAATGGATTGCTTTATGATAGAGGTTGATGAAAAATTTTTAGATGTAGTAATTTTCCAGGGGTTGGGATTGATTGTATTTAATCTTCTGAATAAATGATATGCTCTGTTACATGAATCTTCTGGTCAGCTATGGTTCTTTCAGGTTTATGTGGCACTTTGTGAAGCTGCCACTCATTTCTTGCAACATGCATAATATGTAATTTGACATGAATGTTTACTCTTCATTGAATTCATTTGTTTTCAGATTTCCATTGATCTCATTTCTCTATGAGAGGGGTTGGAGACAAAATTTTAGATGGGGTGGTTTTCCAGGTCCTGAGAAAGAGGTGATATGAGAGTTCCCTATTTCACATTTCTCTGCATTTCGTTCTTTTGGGCAAGAATTATGGCTATTAACAATGAAGCCTATTAAGAGATTATGATTTTCCAATACTTAAGTGCTTGATGATGTATAGGAATTGGAAGTGTATTTATTTTTTATGTGAACTGAACACTCAATCTTTATTTCTTGTATGGTGGAAAGATTGATTTATTTTTTTTGGGATGCAAAGATTTCGTTTATTGGAATGGTGTTGCCACAGATAATCAATTTTTTATTACTAGGAAAACACAATCAGAAAGTTTGTGAGTGCTAGATGTGTTATTTCTTATCCGTAGAAGAAAAATTTATAAATTCATTTTTGCAACAAAAATTCATTATGGAAATTGCTGGAAATGCAAACTTTATCTGTTGCACATCACATCTGCCATTTATAATATTGAAATGCATGTGATAGAGTAAAGTTTGTGAACTGGTTCGTGCTATTCCCTAATGGTAGTTTACTGCAGTTTGAAATGGCTAAGGATTACCTGAAGCCAGTTTTGGGTGGAAATATTGTAGATGCCAGTTGTGGTAGTGGACTATTTTCCAGACTCTTTGCCAAAAGTGGATTATTTTCTCTGGTCATTGCTCTGGATTATTCTGAGAACATGCTGAGGGAATGCTATAACTTCATTCAGCAGGAGGAGAACTTCCCAAAAGAGTATTGAGTTTACTTGTTATGGATATTTTTGGTTCTATGATCAGCGGAACTTGTAAATTCTGTCAGTTCTCTGTCTCGAGGTGTGAGACTAGTTCACATTTTCCTTTTCCAGGAATCTTATCTTGGTCAGAGCTGATATATCCAGGCTCCCGTTCATTTCAAGTTCAATTGATGCTGTGCATGCTGGTGCTGCATTACACTGCTGGCCATCACCATCACTAGCCGTAAGCTTTTCTATTAAAAAGGGGTTTTGGAAGCATTATTCTACCTAGTTATTATACTACTGGCATAGGGACATCCCCTTAGGTGAGACTGAAGACAGACATAGGACCAACATCCCAAAAGTTTTGGAATGAGGCTGTTGTATATTGTTTTATGTTCAATTTGCAGATTAGTGAGCTTTACAATAGTTTTATGTAAGTCTTGCTTTTACTTATATCAGATTTCTGTGAAAATCATTAATTTATGTGCTTGAGTTAGTTTTATATTTCGTGAAGTTTAACATAGAAGCAGCTAGGGACACCATGAACAAGAACATGTTTATAAGGTTTGACTGATATCCAAGTCTCTCAGTTCTATTTCCACAAAGATTCTTAATTTCATTTGCATGTGATTTCTTTCTAATTTTAGATGAAAGTTTTTAGATGTCTATGTCATAGTTTTATTTCTTACTTTTCCTTAATCGAGTAAACCTCAATATAATCTCTCTTCTTTAGAACCATGCATGGTTGAAAAATTTTGCTGGCAATTTCTTGTTTCCTCTTCCCCACTCCCCCCACCTCCCTCTCTAAACAAAAATTATTTTGACATTCTTGTAACAGTTTTGAGAGTAGATTACTGCATTGAAGTGGACTAGAAGCAGAAAACTTATTTCCTTGTCAAATATTAACAAGTTTCTAACAGAAGAACCAGAAATTTGCTTATTCTCGCACATCAACATTGGTTAAGGGAACGACAATGCAAGAGTTCTTTAAGAAAAAATCATGTTCTGGGAGGAGTTGTTTATTTTCTGAAGGATGAATGTTTTTTTTATATATATACGCGGAAAAATCTTATACTGCGGGCAAGCCTGTATGATCTTTTTCTTTGTTGGGATATTTATTCATTTGACTTATATCATAAACCTTGTGTGATCATCTGGTATTGTCCTCTGGCTGCTACTTCTTGTGATGCTCAATGGCCTCACATTCTGACTTCACCAGCATATGCTCTTAGCAAATTATTTTTATGGTTTTGTAGGTAGCTGAAATAAGTCGAGTTCTGCGACCTGGAGGTGTGTTTGTTGCCACTACTTTCATATTTGATGGGCCTTTTGGTTTTCTACCATTTGTAAGGGATCTACGTGAGGTATGATTCACAACCTTTGAACTTGCATGTTTCCACATTTTTCTTTTCCTGTAGGAAGGATGGTTGTGGAACTAATTATGAATATTAGTTAGATGAACATTGTCATTTTTTTGTTCTTTTTTGATTAACATTTTTCTACATCTTGCATATTTAGGCAGGATTAATGATTCTTTTTCCTACTGACATTAAAAAATTGGCAAATTACTTTCCACCTCATATGATCTGGCCTGGATGCAAACTGTTAGAATATTACAAAACATATTATGAAGTATTAATAGGGTGATTTATGTTTACATATATAAATCTCTCTTCTATGTATATATATCCCTAACTCTATGTAATGAAAGAATATAAATATTCAGAATTTCTTTCCCTAAATCTTACATAATATTAGAGTAAGGGTTAGGGTTTTAGGAGTCGGATTACATCAGATTAAAAGAAGGTTGAACAACCCATTCCCAGCATCAGAGGAGGACAACTACTAATTTCCGTTCAGTTCAGAGTGTGATCAGCACGGTGGTGTGTATGCGGGAGAAGCCAAGGAAGCAGTTCGCGCAGCGGTTTGAGGCTGCATGCGGCGGGATTGCCGGAGGTGAGCATCCTCGAGCGTCTTGGGTTCCCATTCGAGGAAAGAAGGCACAGAGGAGCTCGGTCATCCGGCTCTGTGCACGAAACCAGAAGGCCGAAGAAGGGAAAGCTGCGACGGAGGAGATCGCGCGATAGCAAGCGATTCTTAGCTTTCCGGTGCAATTTAGGGCGTTTCGGCGAGTGTCATTCCGGATCAAGGTGCACATTAGGGTTATGTGGTGATTTTCGGCCGAAAGAGGAATTTTGGTGTTTTCCGATGACGACACGTGAACTCCAATGGGAGTGCATGTGGCGGCGCGTGAGCTCTTGTGGTGGCAGTGTGGTTCTCTTGAATTTTCGTGTGTGAGAAGGTATTCTGTTTTCTCAAAAATTTTGACTTATTTGCAGTGTTTTTCGGGTATTTCTGACTATTGTGTTTTGGGTATTCTGAATGACATATTTCTTATAATTCCTAAATTGAAATAAATATTGTCTGCTACTACTACTGTGAACAAGGGCATATAAAACGGTATTGTAAGAAATTGCAGAATCGTAGGATACAAACCGCCAGTATTGTTGCTGTTACTGCTAGTTCATCTTTTAAAAAAATTGTTATGATTTCAGCTGACGAGTATGCTAAATTCACTCAGTATCAGGAATTTTTGAATAAATTTTCTGTTTTCGCTGAATTAGAGAAAAAATATCTCATCTCTTCGAACAGATGAGTGATTGATTCTGGTGCTACACATCATATAACAGGTAATCCTAATATGTTTTTTGGTTTTCAATCATACAAAACACATTTTCTTGTAACTATTGCTGATGGGTCGACTTATAACATTGTGAGATACGGGACTATAAAACCAATTTCATCTATTACCCTGTCATCTATACTAAGTCTACCTAAACTTGCCTTCAATCTGATTTCTGTGAGTAAGTTGACTAAAGATTTGAATTGTTTTATTGTATTCTTTCCTGATCACTGTGTTTTTCAAGATTTTACGACGAAACAGATTATTAGTGAAGGAAATATATTAAATGGTCTCTATATTCTTGATACTAAGTGCCTTGGTCGGTTGTCTGCTCTAGTGTTACATCTCCATGTGAAACACATTGTCAATTAGGACATCCCTCTCTACTTGTGTTGAATAAGTTATGTTCTCAATTCTATGATATTCCTTTGGTGGCTTGCGAGTCATGTCGGTTTGTAAAATACCATTATAGTCCGTCAGGTCCAAGAGTCAATAGACGAGCTGAGTCTTTTTGACTTGGTTTATTTTGATGTTTGGGGCCCCTGTCCTGTTGCGTGTAAAATAAGTTTTAAGTATTTTGTTACTTTTGTAGATGATTTTTTTCGAATAACTTGAATATCTTTTATGAAGAATCGTTCTGAAATATTTTCTTACTTTTATGTTTTTTGTGCTGAAGCCAAGATACAATTCAATGTTTCTGTGCATGTATTGAGAAGTGATAATGCTAAGAAATATATATTAAACTCATTTCAGAACTATATCACTCAACACGGGATCCTTCACCAATTCTCGTGTATTGATACACCATATCGAAATAGAGTCGCTGAAAAAAAGAACAAACATTTATTTGAGACAACTCGAACCCTCTTGTTCCAAATGCAAGTCCCTAAGTAATTTTGGGCTGATATTGTTTTTACAACATGTTTTTTGATTAATCGTATGTTATCTACAATACTTGATGGAGATGCTCTTTACACTCTTCTTTTTCCAAACAATTTTTTATTTTCGGTGCAATCTAAGATATTTGGTAGCACTTGTTATATGTGAGATGTGCGACTTATTGTGACAAAATTTAATCCAAATGCTCTAAAATGTGTATTTTTGGGATATTCTCGACTTCAAAAATGATACCGGTGTTACGCTCCTGATCTCAATAAATATTTGGTATCAATTGATGTGGTTTTTTCAGATAATATATCGTTGTTCTCCTTATTATCCAAATCTACAAGTCAGGAGGCGGACGATGAGTAACTCATTTATAATTTTACACCAGGTGTCTCTGTTGAGCAAACAGATAATGGTATTTCTCTAGATGATGTGCCTCCGACCTCACTGAGCAAGTTGATGATGGAGATGCTCCATATAGGCTTGCGCTACTTCCATCATCATCTGATTCTGCTTCACAGGACCTTGGTCTCCCTATTGGTTTTCGTAAAGGTAAACGTCGGTGCATCATTCGTCAGCTAATTTATCCCATTGCTAATTATGTTTTGTATGACCATCTGTCTCTCTCGTCTACTTCTTTCATTGTTTTTATAGACTCAATTTTCATACCCAAAACAGTTAAAGAACTTGTGAATTATTCTGGTTGGCATAATGCAATGCTTGAGAAGATAAATACTCGATAAAAATCATACTTGGGATTTTGTGGATTTACCTAAAGGAAAAAGGGTTGTAGGGTGCAAATTAGGCTTTTCAGTCAAAGTAAACTCAGATGGTTCAGTAGCAAAACTTAAAGTCCAACTTGTACCAAAAGGCTATGCTCAGATTTATGAAGTTGATTATTTTGATACCTTTTCACCAGTGACAAAGCTTACATCTGTCCGTTTATTTATCTCAATCGCAACATTTCACAATTGGCCTTTACACCAATTAGATATCAAGAATACATTCCTTCATGATTACCTTTTAGAAGAAGTGTATATGAAGCAATCGACTGAATTTGTTGCTCAGGGAGAGCATGGAAAAATATGTCATTTGAAAAAATCTTTGTATGGGCTGAAACAGAGTCTCCGTGCGTGTTTTGACAAATTTAGTGAGGTAATTCTGGAATTCGAGCTGAAGAAGAGCAAATGTGATTACTCGGTTTTCTATAAACAGCCAACAACTTGTCTTATACTCCTTATTGTCTATGTTGATGATATTGTTATTACAGGTGATGATTGTGCAGTAATATCTTCTTTCAAATCATTCTTTCATACCAAGTTTCACACAAAAGACTTAAGTCAGTTAAGATATTTCTTAAGAGTAGAAGTAACAAGAAATAAGAAATAACTTTTCTTATCTCAGAGGAAGTATGTACTTGATCTACTTGTAGAAATTGGAAAGTTGGGAGCTAAACCGTGTAATACTCCAATGGTACCAAATGGTACATCTTACTAAAGATGATGGTGAATCTTTTGATGATCCGGAAAGATACAGACAATTAGTTGGGAAACTGAATTATCTCACAGTGACTCGTCCAAATATTGCATATCCTGTCAGTGTTGTTAGTCAATTTATGTCTGCACCTACAGTCAAACATTGGGAGGCTTTAGAACAGATTTTGTACTACCTAAAAGGTGCTTCAGGACACACTCGCATTGAATGTTTTGCAGATGCTGATTGGGTTGGATCTAAAATTGATAGAAGATCCAGTATAGATTATTGTATTTTTGTTGGTGAGAATCTGGTATCATGGAGGAGTAAGAAGCAGATTATTGTGTCCCGGTCCAGTGTAGAGTCCGAATACAAAGTTATGGCCTAGTCCACATGTGTAGTCTTATGGATACAACATCTCTTAGTAGAAGTGAGTTTGAATTCCATATTACCTACAAAACTCTGATGTGATAATCGAACTGCTCTTCATATTGTCTCAAATCCGGTGTATCATGAAAGAACTAAACACATTGAGATTGATTGTCATTTTATTCGTGAGAAGAGTCAGGAGAACTTGATTTCTATTGGTTATGTGAAAACAAGAGAACAATTGGGTGATATATTCACAAAAGTTTTGAATGGAATCTAAATTGAATATATTCATAATAGGTTGGACATGATCAATATTTATGCTTCAGTTTGAGGGGAGGGGGAGTATTAGAATATCACAAAATATATTACGGAATATTTTATGTAATTATTAGTTGATTTTTTCACATTAATTGAGTGATTTATTTTTCTATATATAAATTCCTCTTTTATGTAAATATATCTCTAACTCTATGTAATAAAAGTATATAAATATTTAAAATTTCTTTTCCTAAATCTTACACAAACCGTGACCTGTGATTTTTTAAGTTTAACACAATATGATTTTTTTTTGAAAAAATACTTATTCAATTTTGTAAAATTCTTTAGAGGATATCTGAGAACATTTATACATCATGAACATGAAAATGAAAAAATTTAATGCTAAAAAATCAAAATTAGGGGTAAAATAAAAACTATAAGATAATAGCTTAAAACTAGTTGTTTTATATATAATAACAAGAAACCAATCCACATAATGCTCATCACAAAGAAAATTACAAGGTTTCAGTTGCAATCAGGCCAAACCAAAGGGGGTGAACTTGTAAGTTGCCCCTAAAAAAAATGAAGTCAAGCTAAGACTATTGATCTGCGGCTGAAGCCTGGCATTAAGTATTTTTTAATTCTTTGTAGAATATGATGGTAACGTCAGGCAGCCGCATCTTCCTATCTGAGCGTGAGCTAGAAGATCTCTGCAAAGCCTCTGGCCTGGTTGGTTTTACTTGCATAAGAAATGGTCCTTTTGTAATGATCTCCGCTACAAAACTCAATTAAATGTTAACGGCCTATTGTCACTTTGTAAAGGATTTTTTGCTTGGAAGTCTAAATTTATATCATTTACTGGCGTACAGCTAAAGTGGCTGGTCGATTTGTATAGGGCATCTGCTATTTGCATGTATTCTTAACTAAATTGGTTAAGGGGCACACAGCTGGAAGTTGGATTTTTTGACAGACAGAACTCGATACTTAATCATGCAAACATATTTGTATACCTGAAAATATTGTACAAACCAAGATTTTAATTTGTTATTTGCAGCCTGCTGAAGTTCTTTTTTGTCAACTACTTGGTCTTATGGCGATTGATGTGAAGATTTGTATTTTTAAGTTTTCATTGTTCTTAATGTTGTGTTATTTTGTTTTCTTTGTGTTTTTTGCCTTTCAATGTGCGAAGTTGATAAAGATGCAAGTTATTTGAGTCTTTTAACTCCAATGTTATTTAGAAGTA